GACACCACTGTGGTCCGAAATTCAACTTCTAGCTGTAGGAGGTAGAAGGATGCATTCCCCATCCCTGGTCCCCCATTCTGCCTTGTTCCTCCTGAACAAGTGGGCTCTGGCTCCTGAAAGTGGGGAGAGCAGGAACAGCCCATTCAGAAAGCCCCCAAATCCCAAGGAGGACCACCCTGGTTTGCCAGCCTCCATCCCCGGAGACGGAGTGTGAGGCTTACTGGGTGGATACTCTTGCCCTCATCCTGATGGTTCTGATCCCAAAGATGTACAAAGATGTACAACTCAGCCCTGGCTTGAGGCGTCGGCACGTCCTCAGTGCCCTGGGAGCCTCCAGGGCCCAGCCTTCAAACTCCACACGCAGCCAACACATTCTAAGTAGTTTTGTTTCTAGCAGATTTATTCATTAAGTGTCACTCACTGTAGTCCCCAAAGACTGGCGTACAAGAGGGAGCCTTTCTTAAGTGAACAATTCTCACTGCTTTGAAACAACTCTGAGAAGAAAGCCACTCAAATTCCCAGCTCTGCAGACCAGTCCACCCTACGGGGGCTTTAGCGCTAAGGCTCAGAGAATAAGGCTTCAAGAGTCCTCCTAGGCTAAATGCAGGAGCAAGGGAGAGCTACTGCTCACAAGAGGCATTTACTTAATGCAGCCCAGATGATTTGATTTGAAAACTAAATTCCCTCTTGTTCTAATCACTCAGTGCCTGGGGCTCTGGTTCCCCACGCCCCTTCCCAAACCCAGGACGTCCGCTCACTCTTCCATTCTGCTGTCTCATCTCTGCTCCCTCTCTCAACCTGACTGAGTCATTTCCTTTCTCGTCTTTCTCGGTGTGGCCTTTCTGTTTGCCAGGACCCACAATTTAGCTGGCTTAATCCCCACTTCCCCGCAACTCCCACCTCCCTGGCTTCACTCCCTCTCTGAATCTACTTCAACAAAACCTCTCTCTGCTCTTTTCAAAGTGTAATTCCCCTTGGAAATCAATATATACACATACACATATGTGTATATTCATTCTGCCTGTATATGTGTGTTCTTTAGATACAAATATAGTCTGTATGGTTTTCAGATTTGAAAATGGGACCAAAAGGGGAAAAATGATCCCAAAGTATGTTGATAGATGCAAGTGACCGGCTCCTTCGTGATTGTTAGTTTCCTCATCTAAACTCCTTTGTACTTTCCAGGCTTTTAGCAGTGATTGTGGATTGTTTTCCTATTCAATAAAAACAAAAATATTCATGAAAGTACAGAAAGATAAAAAAAGAAAGATGGTGCGGTGATATGCAGGCCATGTGGCTTGTATCTTTATGGGGCCCAAATCCAAAAAGAAATGGAATCAGAGACCTGGACCCATACGAGGAAGAAACATTTTAACACTAGAAAAGTGTTAAAAGTATTTTTTTTCCTTAAAAAGAAAAAAAAAAATCCCCTGAAAGTGTTTCACATGGAAAGACCTGGGTGGTGTGTGCTGTGAAAGGTATCTGTGATAAATACAATGGGGGTGGCTTTTTCCCCTTCCTTTGAGAGCCCCTTTGACCACTACAGCAGGCGTCCTCAAACTTTGGCCCGCCAGCCACATGCAGGCCACATGCAGGCCACCTAGAACATTTATCTGGCCCGCTGGGTGTTTTTGCCACCGCTGCCTGTCCTGCTTAGCAACCGACTCGTCCTGGGGCCAGCAGTCTGGCCCTCCAACTGTCTGAGGGACAGTGAACTGGCCCCTTGTTTAAAAAGTCTGGGACCCTGCCCTACAGCTTCCTTTCACAATCCTGGAAAGACCAAACGAACGCCTCACTCCAGTCACGTTTTGGAGTCTTTGCTTAGAGAACTGCCCAGGTTGGGAAAGAATTTCAGCTCCCAGGACTGGTCTTTGCCAAGGCAAGACGGGTCAGTACTTCTCTGAGGAGGTACTTGAATGAAAACTGTAGCCTATGGAAAACTGTGTTGTGTGAAAGCAATTTTCCCTCATGGATTAGTATTTTCTTCAATGAAGACAAATTTACAAAGTCATTTTACGTTTTAGGTTAATTCTGTGCTTGGGTTAAAATGTCATTGAAATCAGTTAAGACAGCACTCGACCCCACCTCCGCCAACACAGGCCCCTCCTGTGTCAACTTTGCCAATTTCCTCCCTCTGGCCTCCTCTACTTGTTATGAGGTTTCCCTCAAGGCACAATGAGCAAGCACACTGGCCTCCAGGGTCCCCTCTGCTAGTCCTTCTGGTTTCCTCCCCTCCTTCTTTCCTTCCTCCATCCTCTCTACCTGACAATCCATTCTCTATTCACCTCCAGGCTCATATCTCAAGGACATCTCTAATCTGAGTCACTCCTGGATCATGGGTCCCCACTGCCCATAAAATACAGGCACAAGTCACATAAGCATCCCCCAGACAAAGTGGCCTGCTGCCAGACCCTGGGGACTCTGCAAGAAGTCTTGGGAGTCACACGCATCTGGATGCTGGGGTTTTAACAGTAGCTTTGGCCCGGTGTGACCCAATTAAACATCCTAATAGTGTCACCATCCATATCCATGAGACAGGGGTTAAACAGCTAACAAAACTGGGTGGCGCCTGTGGCTCAGTGAGTAGGGTGCTGGACCCACATACTAAGGGTGGTGGGTTCAAACCCGGTCCCAGCCAAATTGCCAAATTGCCACAAAAAAATAACCAGGC